CCAGAAAACCTGAAACATGGGTAAAGAAGCCATACATTTTCTTTTTATTCTTAGAGCATCTTCAAGGACAAAATCAACAATGGATTTTAGATTAGTCTGGCAAACTGAGGTTAATGTGCTCTTCCTCCTGAAATGCCTTAGCTCTTCAGGATGGTTGCAGCTTGTCATATTTACTCATAAATTAGCACTTGGCAGATGTACAAGGATCTGTTTTTTGCTGCATCTAGGCTGCAAGGTTGTTTAAAAAATTTTTATTTTAAAATAACTATAGATTCACAGGAAGTTGCAAAAATAATACATAGAGTCCCCATATAGCCTTCTCTTAATTTCCCCCATATGGTTGTTACATCTTATGTAACTATGGTACAATTTCAAAACCAGGAAATTGACATTGGTACAATATGTGTGCATAGTTCTGTGTCATTTTATCCTATGGGTAGAATCTATAACCACCACCACCACCACTATAACATAATCAGTTGTTTTTAGCACCACAGAGATATCTCTTGTGCTACCATTTTATGGTCCTGCCCACCCTCCACCACCTCTCACCAGTGTTAAAGCCTGGCAACCACTGATCTGGTTTTCACCACAATCATTTTGTGCTTTAGAGAATGATCTAAAAATGTAGTCATAGAGTATGTGACCCATGGAGGTTGGCCTTCTTTACTCAGAATAATGCTATTGAGATCCATCCAAATTATTGCATGTATCAATAGTATGTTCCATTTTATTGCTGAATAGTATTCCACGATATGGATATACCACAGTTTGTTTAACCATTTGCCCATTGAGAGAAATTTGGCTGTTTCTATTTTGGGGCCAATACAAATAAGGAAGACTATTTACATTTAATGTAATTATTGAAATGTTAGGATATATATCTGCCATTTTATTTTTTGTTTCCCTGTTTATATTTTCCCCTGTTGTTCATTTCTCTGCTTTCTTTTCTTTTCTTTTCTTTTTGCCTAACTGTGCATTACTGAAAGATTTGTTAAAATTCTACTTTGATTTATCTGTAGTATTTTTGAGTATATTTCTTTGTATGAATCTTTTGTATAAATTTTAGTTGCTTGAGGGATTGCATTATACATACATAACTTAACACAGGTGACTGGCATAGAGACTTTACCAGTTTGAGTATAAAAACCGTAAGTCTTTTAAATCTTAAAGTCTTCTCATAAAACTTTAATTTGCTATGACATATGTCTATCATTTTCTTAAACATTTCCTCTATATATGTAAAAAACATTCACCAAATATTTCCCAAAGTCATTTTCACACACAGGTGGTCTAAAGCAAAGAGAGACAAAGTGAATTTAAGAAGCAAGTCAGTATCTTGGCCAGCACCAGAGAGTCTGGCTTCCAGAATGTTCCCCTTACCACTCTCTTTCTTCTCCTAACCGAGGGCTTTTCTTCTTCAGAGTCGTTTATTCTTGTTGGCTGATTAGTCTTCAAGTTTTTGCCATTAGCTACTCTAGGGAGATGTTGAACGGATCCTGGGGATGGAGACACAAGACACTGAGGCAATTACTCCAGGTCATGGAGGCAAAACACAGCAAGGGCAGAGGTCACACAGGGGTCACCTAGGTCATGCCTGGCTTTCAGAGAGGGCAGTGACTGGGTTAGCCTAAATAGGGTTTTTGTTCTGTTTGTGGAAAGTGAAACCCCATGGTTTTCCTACCAAGTGTTTTTAGGCTTAATACAATTTTCAGGAAAGAGAAGTGACTGTATTTTAGAGCATGAAGGAATGTCAACATCAAGCCTTTTCCTTGATGAGAAAAAAAGAAAGAAAATGTGCAAGACGACGCTTAACTCATCTCTATCTCCACTCTTTGCTTCATTCTACTGCCAGGGTTTCCTGACTAACAAGGTGTCTAACATGAATATCTCCTGTGGCAAATCAAAGCCCCCTGCCCATTTATTTATCAGTCCTGGTGAAGGTAGACACAGTTATAACCCTTTCCTAAGACATGGCTGTGAGAATGAAAGCATTATAAAGCACCTAGACCAACGATGGCAAATAAATGTCATCTTGCATACCAACCACTCAGTTGGCAGCGAATCCGGGATCAATGCCTGGAGGATGTTGAGGACAAAGCACCATGGAAAAAGTATGGTGTGACAGAGCAGGAGAGGGAGTAGGGGGCAAATTCATGGTCCAGAACAAGATGCTGCCTAGGAGCACAGGGAGACATTTTTTCTTAATTCCTGTTCTCTGCCAATTCCTTTGAGTGACTAAGAGCGGAACACTAATTCTAAAGAAAAAGTGTTTCCAGGGGTTAGGAATGGAAATGGGTAGTATCCAAATAACTGGCCACCACTCTGTTTGGATCATATGCTCTGCATGGATTCTGTACTTCTTGGTGAGAGACGAAGTAGCTAAAATAGCAAAATGGCTTCCTTAGGGACATGTTCAAGGTCCCATGTACTAGTGGTGGCTCCTGAGCCTAAGGCATGACATCCCATCATGTACTTCACAGACACAACTGCTCCGTTCATCTTGGGAAGGGCTTCTAGTAAATCACTTCAGACATTAAATGAAGGGGAAAATGTAAAGGATGATACTCTCAAAGCTAACCAGGATGCAGTGAAACAGATTCTCCAATATATTACTTGTAGATACATAAATGTGTGATCTTGTTGTAAACTATTTCATAGCATGTATCAAAAATTATTTTAAAAAACACACTTTTCAGGAAACAAACAGGGTTGCTGGAGTGGAGGGGGGTGAGAGGGATGGGGCGGCTGGGTGATGGACATTGGGGAGGGTATGTGCTATGGTGAGCGCTGTGAATTGTGTGAAACTGATGAATCACAGACCTGTACCCCTGAAACAAATAATACATTATATGTTAAAAAAAAAAAAAGAAGAAGAAGATAGTAGGAAGGGAAAAATGAAGGGGAGGAAATCAGAGGGGAGATGAACCATGAGAGACTATGGACTCTGAGAAACAAACTGAGGGTTCTAGAGGGGAGGGGGTGGGGGATGGGATAAGCCCGGTGGTGGGTATTAAGGAGGGCACGTTCTGCGTGGAGCACTGGGTGTTATATGCAAACAGTGAATCATGGAACACTGCATCAAAAACTAATGATGTAATGTATAGTGATTAACATAACAATAAAATTTAAAACAAAACCACATTGGGCTCATCTTGCATATAAAAAAAATAAATAAAAAATAAAAACACACTGTTTAACATATTTGCAGTAATGAAGCTACACCAAGAAAATAATGCAAAATAGTTTTTAAAGTCTTCATCATATAGGTTTTCATCACAAAATTATTTCTATTAGTGAAAAACGAAACAACTTGAATGCCCAATAGTAACTTATGTGTGTTTGTTCAACTGGCTTACAGATGTTTTAAATTATGGTTATTAAGACCATGTAACAACATGGATTTCAAAGCAGGAGAAAAATGAGGTAAATGCTGTAATTTTAACTGCATATAAAAATACATACAGAAACGTAACCAGTAAGGAAATCTGTCAGTATTATAGCTGGCTCACACTGTAGAGTTGTGGATACTTTAAGATGTTATATTTAAAACTATGTTGTGGTTTTGTTATTTTTATAATGGAAAACATTTAATAAAGGGAAAAGCTGAAAAGGGAATTTTGAATCGTATTTCGGAGATTTTGGAGAAAGAGTTGTCACAGCTAAGCATTACAAGGGAAAGCAGTGAGGAGGGAAGAAGTATGCTGTCTGCTATGCTTTTTCATGTGAAAAAGAAACAAGCTAGTCCCACTGAATTAACAGATTTCCCTGCTTTTCCACTGACCACTACAAAACTTGCCACTAACATAAGAAAGCCTTGATTAGGAAAAAAAAAGTTTCCTAAATATATCTTCCTTGATTCTTTCCTTTTAGGCAGTATGAAGTTATGATTGAGTGTGAGTAAACAGTACAGAGAAGGTTCTCGGCTACTATGAGAATTGTCACCACCACTGTCAGTTCTGCCAAAGATCTAGTGTGACTAGGGACACTGTCCAAAGTAGTATTTCAGCTTTGAGATGTACCAAGCTTTAGTTCATACAGAGAACTGACTTCTATTGAGTACTTACTCTGTGTGCTATCTGCTTTAGATGCACAACAACCCTTGCAGTTGGGTCTGGTATTATTCCCACTTTACAGATGAGGGAACCAAAGCTAAGTAAGATGTCCAGGGAAATGAAAAGAAAGAAGCAGAGCTGTCCTGGACCTAGATCTGTCCAGCTCCAGAATCTTTGGCCTTTCTCTATGCCAGGCCAGCCCTGCATACACTTGGCCCTGATCTCCTAACTTTCTCAGACAATAACATTCTGTCCTGTCTTCTTTCAACTGGTCTGCACAGGACAAAGCAAGTTCCCCCCCACCCCCCCAGATAGAGTCCCTGTACCTAGCACAGTGCCCAGTGAGGTATTTATTTATTGACTGCACCAACCCATACCTGCACCCATTCTTTCCTTACTTCCACAAGAGTCTGGAAAAGAACTGGACATAATAAGATGGGAATGCAGTCTCATTCATTTACAGCCAGTCAAGAGCTTGCAGATTCAGTCTAGAAAGCTCCCAGAACAAATTGTGCATGTGCAGACAAGAGAATACTGCTTTCAGCCCAAGATATTACCTGCCAACACTTAATGATAATATCTGCCCATCTCTGTGGCTCAGTTTTGTCACCTTCCCGAGACTGAATGTCCATTTGCCCTCCCACCAATCCATGCTCTGAGATTCCTGACCTCCAAAACCCCGAATCAAAGCATTCCCGCAGAATCAGCTCCACATTTGGGAGCTGGCAATCGGTCCTGAAGTGCGTGACAGTGTGACTAAGAGCATGCCGGCAGTGTTGGCTGCCCTGACCATGGGCTGTAGGCAGGAGAATTCTGGGAAGAAGGGGGATGGATGGCCCTTTTCTGATTCATTGTGCCTGTATGTGTGGGTATGTGCACGCAGAGAAGAGAGAAGAGGCAAAGAACTAAAAGCTTTTGGTCAACAAAATCACAAGCCAAGGAGGAAGGGAAAGGGTATTTTATGGGCTTGGCTGGAGGAGCTGTTGCAAGAATGGAGGGATCCCACAGTTCCCTGTAGATGCCACTCCCTACTTTCTTCCCTCCCTCCGTTTTCCCTTCCTGACTCAGGGTCAGGGTCCCTGGTCACCTCCAGTCTTCCTGGGAATCCTTGGCCATGGAGTTAGGTGAGACCAGATTGGAAAAGATGGCCTTTCTCGGTGCTGTTGTGGTCATAGTCTTGATTTTGTTCAGCTTGTCCCGGGCCTGTTGGCATTTTTTCAGGCAATTCGAACACAGATCCTTCTCTTCTACCAGATATAATTTGTCCAGCCTCCTGATGGTATCTATGAATGTATCTGACTCCTCTACCTTGGGAAAGGGATTTCGCTTTGTGTTGAGCTTTTTGAGCTTGGGGAGCTTGGAGATGCTCTTAGGGATGCTGGTCAGCAGGTTGTCATGTAGCCCCACCTCATGGAGCTCCTTCAGAGCACCCAGTGTGGTGGGCACACTGTCCAGATGGTTCAAGCCTAGGTTCAAGGTGCGGGTATTCTTGAGCTGATTGAGCTCCACAGGCAGCCCATTGGTGGTCAACCTGTTGTTGCTGACATTAAGGTAGAGCAGAGTAGTCATCTGGCTGATGGACTCAGGAAGCTTGTCGATGTAATTGCTGTGCAGGTCCAGCCACCGCAGGTTCTGGAACTTGGAGATTGATTCAGGGATTTTTCTGATCAGATTCCGGCTAAGGTCGAGCTCATCCACATCATTCAGTCTCAGGATACATTTGGGGAAGTTGGTAATTCCCATCTTGCTCAAGTCAAGGCGTTTTCTCCCATCAAATGTGATTTTGATACAATTCTTGGCCACATTGAGGGTGATCTTCTTGCCCTTGGGGCCTTTCCTGCCCTTGGCCATGTTCTTTTAGTAAGGGTGTGTGTTTGAAGAGTGTTGTACTGATTGGTTGGTGATCAGTTTGAGGGAAAAGTCACAAGAAACTGCTAGATATACTGTGACAAGAAGAGAAAATATGTCTAGTTAGGAGATGACATGAGGGCACTAGACTCCCCTCCCCCGCCCCGAGTTGTAATGCTTCACTCGCTAGTGGCTAAAGGAGATGCCTGGACAGAAATTAGGGCATCAGCAGAAGTCACCTCGCCAAAGATCTTCAGCAAATTCAGTGTCCTCTTCGGGGATGCAGGGCCGGCTGAAGGATGCTCAATGCCCCTCTGGCTGTGCCATTCCCTGACATATAAATCTCTCCACTGTCCTGGACTCAAACATATCCCCCTCCCCCACCAAGGGGTACGTGTGTGTGCGTGTCCTTGGCTATCTGTCACTTCCCAGACCCTCACAAAAATCTAGTGTTTCCTTACAGTTATTCCATGAGTCCCTAGGGGTGGGACTGCTGAGTTCTCAGAAGCAGCATAGCCTAGATAGGAGGTAATAGGTGGGAGTTAAGAATGACTTACATAGTACATCTCTCCTCACCTTCCTTCTGGACCCAGAGGCACCAGGCAGGCCTGAGCTGCTGTCACTGCAGTGCAACAGGAACAACACAAGAGCATCTTTCACTCAGCCCGCAAGTGGACATGTGTGCCCACACCTCGCTGAGGAGTGTGGAGGAGCCAGGGTTGAGCCTGGCAGTAAAAGAATGCTGTCTTTTTCTACTTCCTACCCCCTACACTTCCTCCCTCACATCCTTCACACTGCAATTCAAGTGCAGACACCTCAGCACTGAGAGGTATGATTATGTTTATAACATTAGTTATGACTGCTGCCATATGGAGAAGTAGAATGGACAGAGTCATGGGTAGATTCTGGCCTCAGAATGCTTGGCTTAGAAGTCTAGCTCTGCATTAAAGAATTTTCTTAAATTTTCATGGTTTTCTCATTTATGAAAACAGCCCCCTTATAGGCTCTTGGGGAGTGTAAATTATCTAAGCTATAAAGTGCTTACAACAGTGCCTGGCACATAGTAAAAGCTTGATTAATGTTAACTATTAAATACTATTATCAGGAACTTTGCACATATTCCTTTTAATCTCCAGTAATCCAGTAAGATCCATAGGATTGTCTCCATTATAAAGAGAGAAGACTGAGGCTTGGGAGTGAGGAAGATCTTCAGCTAGAAAGAGGATGCAAACTGTCCTGTCCTATTCTAGAGACTCTTTTCTAAAACGTGGTGCCTCTTGCTTGCTGATTTTCTATCTTGGACCAAGCTCCCACCCTGGACAAAAGCATGCTGTCAGGAGACAGATGCTTGCATTAGCTCCATTTCCCCACAGGGATGAGTGGGAGAGATGCCCTGCAGTTTCTATAGTTCATCTTTCAGGCCCTTTATCAGGAACCAACTTTACAAAACACATGAAGCACCAGCAGTCGGGCTATGTGAGTCTATCATCACACATTTTCCTCATACAGTAACCTCAGTATCAAAAGGAAGTGGGTAAAAATTACCTTCCAGGTGCTTACTATCAATCCTGCTATTGCCATCTCTAGCTAAGGTCAGAGGGTCCTACCCTACGCAAGTCGTCCTGGATCAGAGCCTCCTGGGATGGCAGTCTCCATAGTAAACCAATGAAAGTATTCTTAGCTCTCAGCAGCACTGATGTCCTTTCAGGCAGGCCTTGAAAGCTGAACCTGTTCTTTAGAAACAATGAACTAACCATATTCAGGCATAATTGGCTGGTTACCGAAGACAGTACTGTGTTCACCACTATTGAAGTTTTTGTATCACACAGCATTGAGGAACTAGAAAGGATAAAGCAGATTAAAAATGAAGGCTGGGTTTCTAGCCACAGTTAAGATGGAATAAGTGCACTCTTCCCTGTTTCATCTATTGAATGCAACTAAAGGTCCCAGACAGAACTCCTGGAGCAGCTCTCTGAGGATAAGATGAAGGATAAAGTAAAAAGATATCTGAGGATAAGATGATGAACAGTATCAGACAGATTGGAAAAGTAACTCAAAATAAGACCAACTTTGCAGCAGTGGTGATGGAAAGATTTATAAGAAAAGCCCCTTTCTATGGCCAAAACAAAGAAAGGGGGTCTCCTGGGATCATATAGAGAATGAGGGAGATCTCCTGGTGTTACCCTGTTTGTTTTTTCCATCCTCTGCTGCCTGAGCCCCAGGCAATCCTGTATCGCTAGAGTTAGCCAGGCAGACAGCTAAAACTCTGAGGGAGGAGAACCGTTGTCTCTGACCAAACTTCAATCCCAAGGACATGGAGGTTGCTTTTTTCTCTCTACCCTACTGCCACTTGGCCCCAGAGGCAGAAATAGTAGCAAGAAGTATATAGCAGATTTAGAAAATAAAAATCCCAAGATTTCTATTCAGAAGACCAAGGAAGGAGACCACTCCTAGAGCCACAAAGGGTGATTTAAAGAGGAGGGCATTTAATTACATTGTATATGAACTCCTGGACACATCCTGAGATGTCTATCCATGGATAAAACCCTGAACAGCATCTTTAGTACCTAATCCCAAACTGTGAACCCAAAAGCTTTGAACGTTGAGCTGAGAGGTAGACCACTGTACAGGTAGAGGTACTGATTTGAATAGCACTGAAAATTCTTTGACAACTGAATGGACACTGTAACCATAGTCTACAGACTCTACAGAAGGTGTGCCAGAACTTGTAGCCTTTGATTGCCTGCTAAAATACATACATATCAATATCAATATATAGGTCTATCCTAGAAGAAGGAGAGGAAAAAGTCGTGGTTCAGAACAATATTTGAAGGAAAAATGGGTAAAAACTTTTAACTGTTGATAAAAGAAATAAAAATGACAGATGCAAGAATCTTAGTGAACTCCAAAGAGGACAAATAAGCTTAAAAAAAATCCACACTCAGACATATAATCAAACTGCTTAAAATTAAAAACAAAAAAATTCACATTCACAACCTGCCGGAGAATACATATTATCTATAGGGGCCAGCAATGCGAATGGATGTAGGTTCCTCCCTGGAAACCATGGAGGCCAGAAGCACTGGAAATATATTGTTTTCAAGTGCTGAAAGTAAGGAACAGTCAGGCAGACAGTGAATGACGGTACCCTAGATGAATGAAGGCAAAATGAGGACATTCTCAGATGAATGAAAAATAAAAGGATTTGTTACTATAGCTGAGCTGCTGTAGAAGAAGTGCTAAGGGAAGTTCTTCAGATGAAAGGGAGATGATATTAGAAAGAAACTTGGACTTGGGACTAGAGGAAGAGCTATGGAAATGGTAAACATCTGATAAACAGACTACTCTTCTCCTTTTAAGATCTTTAAAATATGTGTGACAGTTGAAAGCAAAAATTGTAACACTGTTTGGTGGGGTTTTCAATGTAGGTAGAAGAAATACATATGACAACTACAACATAATGGGGGGGGTATTGGGACCTATATGGTAGGTAAGATTTTTACACTGCTTTGGTAAAATATTAATTCTAAGTAGGCTGTGGAAAGATAAGTATGTATATTTTAATCTCCAGAGCAATCACTAAAACAATGTACAGACAGAGGAATAAATGAAATATACGCATTAAAACGAAACTGTAAAAAAATTAGAAGTCAAATAATCTAAAAGAAAGCAGAAAAGGCGAAATGGAACAAACAAAAGCAACTATTAAAATGGTAACCTAAATCCAAACATGTTAGTACTTCCATTAAATGAAAATGACCTAAACACACCAACCCAAAGCATAATTGTCAGAATGGATAATAAAAGAACAAGACCCAATTATATACTATCTATAAGAAATCCACTTTATATAAACAAAAGTAAGTTAAACTAAAAGAATGAAAAAAGACATACTCTGCAAACACTGAAGGGAAACTGGAGTGACTTTATTAACATCAGACAACATATATTTCAGAGCATGAAAATTTACCTGAGATTAAAAAGAATACCACATAATGATAAAAGAGACACTTCACCATGAAGGTATAAAAATACTAAACATATATGTACTTAAGACCAGAGCTTTGATATAAAAGAAGCAAAAGCTGATAAAATTGAAAAAGGAAATAGACAAATCTATAATTAGAGGTGGAGACATCAATACTTGTCTCTCAATAATAAATAAAACAGACAGGGCTTCTCAACTTTGGCTCTATTGACATTTGAGGCCAGATAATTCTTTATTTTCTTTGTTGTTAGCAGAGGTGGGGCAGTGATGGGGGAAAGCCCTGTTCCATGCATTGTAGGATATTTAGCAGCAGAAAGCCAGGAAGAATCTATGCACTAAATGCAAGTAGCTCTCCACTAGTTGTAACAACCAATAATGTCTCTAAACATAGCCAACTCCTCACTGGGGTGCAAAATTGCCTCCAGATCAGAATTGCTAATATAGAAGAACTGAACATTACCATCAATCAGCTGGATCTAATTGACACTTAAAACATTCTACCTAAAAAAAAAAAAAAAATTCTACCTAGCAACGGTATACACATTCTTTCCAAGTGCACATGGAACATTCACAAATATGGACTATATTCTTGGTTATGAAACAAACCTTAACAAATATAAACAAATTGAAATAATGCAACATTTTCTCTGAAAATAATGGAATTAAATTAGTAATCAATATAAGAATGATAACTGGAGAATCTCCAAATAGTTAACAAACCACATATTTATAAATATTCGTGAGTCAAAGAAATCTCAAGGGAAATTAGGAAATGTCTTGAACTGAAGAAAAATGAAAATAGAACATATCTAAACTTATGGTATGCAACTAAAGCAGTGATTAGAGGGAAATTTATAGCTTTAAATGTTCATACTAGGAACATTTTAAAAAGTAAGAAAGGTCTCAAACCAATAGTGTAAACTTCCATTCAAAAAACTAGCAAAGAAGAGCAAAAAAACCTAAAGCATGCAGATAGGGTAAATAATAAAGAAAGAGAAGAAATCAATAAAATCGAAAGGAGAAAGACAAAAAACTTCTATATTCCCGGCAATAAATAGTTGGAATTTGAAATTTGAAAAATAATAAATCCAA